GGCTGTTAACCGGAAGGTTGGTGGTTCAAGCCCACCCAGGAGCGTTATTTTTTGGGTTTTCTAATAGAAAACAAAAGCATTTGCATAATATCACATTTATTCTTTTTATATTGGTGGCAAAGAATAAGATGTGTGCTTCGATTTAATGATTTACATATGAACTCATTGTATCGTCGTTTATGCTGATATTCAATAATAGATGAAAGAGTCATAGGAGAACAATTTTTATACTTGCTATGTTAACAATAGATATTTGTTGAAAAGAATGACTTTTGTTGTTGTATTACCTTAACGTTTTTAGAACTACGGAAAGAAATATAACAAAATTCTTTTTTTATTATGAATATTTAGCTTTCTATATTGTCGTGTAATAAAACGAATTCGTTTATAAATCAACAATCTATTTTGAACGTTGATCGAAAAGAAACATTTGAGTATTGTTGTTAGCGGAAACGAACAATTCTGTATCTTTGTTTTCATGAGCCAAATATATGTTCATATGATATATTATTTAAATAATATTAAATTATTTTTCTACAAAACTATCTTCTAAATACATGTCAAAAAAAATTCTATGAATTTTTTCATATATTTATATGCAATCAAAACACACGATGGGTTATATTATCAAATTCAAAAATCAAAATAGAATATTATATTCTTAATGTCAATCTTCCATATGTTCCATTATTAGAAATAACATCGGTTTGAGCTTGTGCTGCATCTTCCAATGGATAAATTCGACCAAGTAATGGTGTTAAATAACCATATTTAAGACCTTGTTGTAAATAAGCATTAATCATTTCAAATTCATCCTATTTTAAAATAATTCATATTAATTCATAAATAAAATAAAATATGGTGTAAAAATATCGATACAAAGTACGATAAGAAAATATTCACATAACTCTTGTATTCGAATACTTTTGCATCATAGATTATCTCCTTACTTCACTTGAACTAAATAAAGTAACACCACATATACTGGTTTCTTTAGCCATTAAAAGTCGAGGATTAATATCAACTGTACCTCGATTACCTATAACAACCACTCTTCCAACACAAGATTTAAGTAATTGTAAATCAGCATTTAAATTAACATTTGCTAACATTTCAAGTATTAAATCAATACCTTCATTATTTATTGAAGCATTCTAAAAAAAAATATATTAATTTTAATTATTTTGACAAAAAGAAGTAATATTTGATGTTAAATTATCATACAGCAATTTCTTTTAAATATCCTTCAGTTTTATGATTAACAGCAAGATGAGCACCTTGATCACGTATAGCTTGTAAACCTTGTTCAGTTGATGCTGTACCAATAACACGCATACCAAGTGTACGAGCTAATTGTACAGCTGCAATACCAACCTTTATTTAAAAAAATAAAACAAATTCAAACATATTACCTATTTGTTTCTTTTTATTGACTTACTCCACCACTAGCTCCATGAATTAAAACTGTTTCATTCGGTTTCGCATGTCCTCTATGATATAAGAGAACAAAAAAAAGAAGATAAACAATGACATAAAGATTTTATTCTTATCATCTTTTTTATTTTGCTTTTATCATTAAAACACCTAAACATCGTATAATGGATGACCATGATGCTCTATTGATTGCTCTTGTAGTTATTTTTGGTGTTTTACTTACTATTATTATTGGTTTTTGTTGTTGTTGGTATTTTCGAAAACAACGTCGAAATATTAATTTACAAAATTCTTCACTATCGGATGAAACACCTTTACTTCATCGTCTTTCTCAACCACGTATTGAACGTGCAAAAGCACAAGAAAATTCATCTTTATTAACATGTCATTTTTATATACGAACAACCGGTGAATATACGTTTCATTCTCAATTATCTCAACTTGGTTCTAATCCGGAAAAAACTTGGTTTCTTATAACACCATTATCAAAAACAAGTACAATATCATTTAATACTGCTTCTCATCTTCTAACTATTCAACCAAAATCAGATCGATTAAATCATTTACAAGATGAAGAAAGTACTGCAATGTATATGCGAACATTAAATAATCTTTTTAGTCGTTTATTTCATCCATATGTTGAATCTATTATTAAATTAGATATTTTATATACACAAAAATTAGTTGTTATGGTTCGACAATATCAACGTTTAGGTTCATTAAAAGATTTATTACATGGTGTTGTACCTACAGCTAATTTCCATGTATGATATACTATTTTTTTGTTTAATTTATAAAATTTGATAATATTTTTTTTTGTTGTTTGTTTAGGGTAAATATTCTTATCGAAGTTCAGGTTTATCACTTGAACGTGTACGTCTATATTCCTGTCAATTACTTGAAGGTCTTCTTTTTCTTCAATCAAAATCAATGCCACCTATTCCAGATTTACATAGTGGAAATATTGTTGTATCAGGTTCATGTATTCAAATAGGTTCATATGAAAATCAATTTTTAGAACAACGTTCACGTGTATATCAATTAATTAAACGTGCAACATCATCATTAGTACTTTCTGAAGGTATGACAAAGGCACAAGCCTGTGAAGTTTTTGGTCTTGGTGGAATTATATTTGAAATGTTAACGGGATATGAATTAGGTGAACAATTACGTGGTTTAACACCTAAACATTGGCATGATTGTGGAAGAGATCCAGCTGCAAGAGAAATGTTAACACGTCTATTTGATATTACACAACCTGTATTAACTTTAACTGAACTTCGAAAATTTCCTTATTTTACAAATAATTTATCAAAACTTAAAGAATTACAAAATTTTAAAACAGTGCCAGGTGAATATTCGAATGATGTTAAAAGTTTACTTGAACAATGGGCAAGTACTATGCGAAGAAAACGAAATTCAACTGTAAGAGCAACAACAATGGAAAGACGACAAAGTTCGGTTGCACCAAGACAAACGGAAACATCAATTATTAATTTAAGTTATACAGCGAATACTAGTTCACCAACACCTACTTCAACTTCTACGACAACTAAATCAAATCCTTTAGGACCACCGCCTACACCAGTTTCAGCAGCACCACCACCACCGCCGCCACCACCACCATCAAAAGCAATGCCTCCACCGCCGCCGCCACCACCACCACCACCACCGCCTCCTGCTCCATCGTCAGGTGGTTCAGGTGATCGTGGAGCACTTTTAGAAAATATCCGTCTTGGAGCAGCACTTAAAAAGACAGTTACTAATGATCGAAGTGCACCAAAAGTTTAAATAACTATATATTTTTTAATTTTAATAAATAAAAAGAAAAGAAAATAGAAATTGTTTATTTTTCTTACTTGATAACAAGTGCTCGATAGGCAGTAAAATAAGGTACACCAAGTGCTGAACCTTGTTCGAATGTAACATTTGCTGGTAATGGAAAGACAAAATCAGCACGAGCAACACAAAATTCAGCGTAAGTGCCTGTTATAGTATTTACTGTAAAAACTCGATCACCAACCTAAAGAAATATAGATTTTATCATATATTTTTATAAAAAAAAGGTATTTAATAATTACTTTGAATTTAGTAACATCAGCACCAATTTTTTCAATAGTACCCGCTGAATCAAGTCCTGGAATATATGGTAAAGTAGGTCGACGACTATAGGAACCTGATCGAATATATGTATCTACTGGATTAACACCAGCTGCATGTACACGAATTAATACCTAAATATATTATGATATTAAAGATTAATTAAATCTATTGGTTTTTTATAATACTTCTCGAGCTTGAATATTAGGTATAGGTACATCTCTTACTAATTTACATACGTTAGCATCACCTAATAATGAGAAAGAGACTATTAATAGTGTTTTGAAACAAAAAAAAATACATACCAAATTCTTTAATGACAATTGCACGCATTACGTTCATTCTTTTTTATATTTATTAATAATAAAAATCAATAAAATTCGTTCTCGTCGTTCGTTTCCTCGGTAAAATATGCAACACTATTTGTTGGCAAGAAAAGGCCAATACAAAGAAGTAATGTCATTATGTGTCGCTCATGCTCGAAGCCACTGTAAAAGAAAATTTATTCATTTTTATTGTTATTTTAATTGATTAAAGTTACAATGATAGGACCATAAAAGATCTAATCAGTAAATAATACTACTTTTGATATTTTCTTTTTAGTATAGTTTTATTTTAGACTTATTAGTGAAATATACTGCGTAAATCTTATCAAAATTTTAATTGCTACGTACTTTCTGTCTGCGAGATCAAGTCAGTACGATTACTAATTTTATATATACTAAATTTAATCATTAAAAGGTAACCTGCTCATTATTTGTGTGTACGTGCCTATTAAAAAATTTCTAATTGATAGCAATATATTTTTTATTATACTATACTTCTTTGTGAATTAGAATACAATGATATAAATAAGTTATTTATTCTACGAAATAGATTATTAAACTATTGATTTTTCAATTCAAAAACTACAAAATGTTTTTATTCATTGTGCACAAATGTCATATGAAAGAATGTACTATTTTATATGCACTGTAAAATGTCAATCCGAGGTCAGTTTTGTAAAACTTGATCTCATAGTTGTAATATTTTCGTCGGAAAATTTGTTTAAAACATAAATATCTGTATGTGACACAAACAGAAAGGATGATACCGACGTATAATTATATTTCATATCTTTAAAATCTATTCACATCAAAAATAATAAGCCGAGCAAATTATTTAAACCAACTATCAACTACAGAATGTGCACCGTAGCGGAATGAGTTTATAAATACTTGTGAAATATACGAAGTTGAACAGTGTAGAGACAAAACAATGAATGAGAGCGTATGGAATATAATGTCTATTACTACTAGTAGTAACAATTTGTATAATCAGCCACCTAATGGCTTCCCATCACCTAATGGTTCACCTCCATCAGGCAGTCCTCCTGGAGGTGGTTCACCGCCTCCAGGTGATTCCGGTAATGGTAATACAGCCACAGTGATCACTAATCTTCAACGAAATGTGGCACTCTATGGTTATATTCTTCTCTTTCTCTTTGGATTTTTTGGTCATATCAATAGTATCATTATCTTTTCACGTCGTACTCTTCGTTCAGTCTCAACAAGTTGCCTTTTTATTTGTGTTTCCATATCTGATATAATCTATTTATTAGTATGCATTTATGATTTTCTTTATACTGGACTTGCTCTTACACCTATTGATACAGCAACCAATTCGAATTTATCAAATGCACTTTGTCGTTTTCGATCTTTTATAAAATCAGTTGCAATGTGTTCATCAGCTTGGCTTCTTTTGGCTATTGTCATTGATCGATGGCTTCGTATTCGATTTCCATTTCAAGTTAAAAAACTATGTTCAAGAAAACGTATCCTGATAGGTGCATTAATTATTCTTATTTTTGCAATTATACTTAATTCTCATTTACTTTTACCTTCGCTTGGTACTTTATCTGGTTCGGATATATGTGGCCCTGTAACAACCTCCACATATTCATTTTTCTTCAGACAGGTTTTTTTTCTTTTTTTTTGCGAATGAAATTATTTCTATGAATATTATTATTTAGGTTTGGGGAATTTTGTTTACTTGTTTACAAACAGTTTTACCAACCATTGCTCTATTAATTGTTACTATTGATATGTTTCGTCGTCTTCGATTACGACAAAAACAAAAATTAAATCGTGGTAATCGTCGTCGTACATTTGTTGATCGACAAATGTTAATTATTATGTTAGCAAGCATATTATTATTCTTTACAACACAAATTCCATTAAGTTTATTCAATATACTTTTATCACCTGTTCTTCAATCTCGTTTAACACAAACACAAGCTCTTGAATTAACATCAATATTTAATTTTATTGCTTCGATCAATTTTGGTGTAAGAAATTTCATATTATAAAAAGAGTTTTTTTCTAAAAATGTAATTACTTTTTTTTTAGACCACATTTTATGTTCATTGTTTAACAAGTGGATTATTTCGAAAAGAATTTTATAATATTAAAAATTGTAATCGACGGCATCGTGTTGGTGTTATAACACGAGTATTAGGTGTGGAGGCTACCCAAACTCAAGGAGTTTATGTGCAAAAAAACAGAAATCAACATGGATGCTCAGTTCAAAGTTTACATTAACTATCAATTGTACCTTGCAATTATAATTATTGTAGTTCGTTTTTTTATCGTATTCATATTTTAACTAATAAATGTTACAATATATATATGAAATATTTAATAAGTATATGTTCATTCTTTCTATTGCTAACAGTAGATGTGTTTATCATTGATCTACTTTCTCATGCTGTTAACTATGGTAGTAAAGGAAGAGAAGACTTTTCTAGTCACATCTCTAAAGAGTGCTTCGATTCTTTTTTAAGTCAGATCCAACCATTCTTTAGAAAGAGCATTAAATCTTCTAATACGAACTAGTTGTTTATTTGAAACCAAAAATCTCATACAAGAAACATTGCTAGTAAAAAATATTTATTGATACAATCGTTTCATAAATAGATGCATAAATAATGCAATTGCTGATAAAGTATAAAAAAGTTGTGATAATCTTTTTGTTGCTTGACTCAAATCCGCTATATAATCAGCATCAATTTCACCACCACAACAAAAAACTTGATGAGCTGTTTCATCTTCACAACATTGCGAGTCATTATTAATAGTATTACATTGAATTTCTATAGAATTACTACTATTCGATGTACAATAATAATAACTTTGTGAATTAGTAGTTGGTGTTGTATATCGATTAGATGAAGAACGATAGTAATAGGATCGAGATATCGGAAGGAAAACATGTCGAGTTCGACTCCATAACCATCCAGTTGGACGAGATACAATTGCACCAGTACGTATATTACGATATCGACTAACAAACGATGATGTTCGACTGCTACTGCTACTTCGGCTATAAGTATGAGAGTTTTTCCTACTACGACGTGATCGAAAACTGCGTGGTTTATGAAATTTTCGCTTATGTGATTCTAAAAATAAAGTTCAATTATTATTATTTCTATATAATATACTAGCGACTTTATTGTTCGTATACAGATGTCCTTCTTTTACTACTTTATGATAGTTGTTACTATGATAAATGAATTATTGACCTTTTGATCGCTTTCGATATCTTCAATATATGAACATATTGACTTGTTTTTAGTACTTACCATCTACTATACTTTTACTTCGTTGTTGTTGTCGTTGTTGTTGATGATGACGTGCTGATGTAATCCATTTTTCACAAAAATATTTCCATTGTCGATTTTCTGTTAGAGATAGATCCTCACCATATAATTTGTCACACCTATTTTGTATTAATTTATTTGCTTTATTTTTCGATTGTTTTGATGTATTTCCATGTATAATTGTAAAAAGTAATAATATCCAAATGATGAGTAATGTATGAATTCTCATTTCGATTATTATTGCTCAAGGAATGAAATGAATGTGGCTTGATATATACAAGCAAAAATAGAAATACAAAAATGTACGATATTTTTTTTCGTTTCTTTCATTTTTCTTTATACGAGTACATAAAGCAATGGGCACAAGGAGAGAACATACTTATGTATTATCGATAGATGTACATTTTCGTGTCACTTTGTGTTAGAGAAACTGACTTTGATTATATTTATTTAAGAAAAGTATGAAATTACGAACAAATTATTCTTTTGAGATGATTACTTTCTATGACGTATTTTGTAACAAACTTTTAGTATTCCTTGTCAATGAATTTTATCAGCGTTAATCAGCCGTTTATTCATTCATATTATTGTGAAAGTCAAAAGTTATATACTTTTCATAAGCTTTAACATAAATTTTTGAATAAGTGAAATTTATTTAATAAAAACTGATAGAAATTCTATTTGATCTTTTTTAAATATCAAAATCTACTCAGATGTTTATATTTCACCCAAATAAAGCATTGATAACAAATCAATAAATTTATTTTCATATAACAAACTATAGGATTGTGCATACTCTTTTGGGAGGATGGGTAGCACTGTGATATTAAGTTAGATACCTGTCTGAGAAAACTATTCTCAAGAAAAATAATTTTCCTCACAGAAGACTGGCTTTCTTAGAAGATCTTGAGCAACTGTCATAGTCATATTGGAAATCAATATAGCCGTGAACCTACGACTCACTAAATTTTATTAATAAAACAATTTGTCAATCGAATCGGTTCCTTCGTCAGTCTCAATGAAAAGAACCTTTGATATTGTTTCATAGTTATATAACACCTCAACCTAGATTCTCAAGTGCTGCACACTCACAAACGTCTTCACAGTAAGGTCCTTTATTTTTTCAGAGTACCAAAATCTATATCTTTACATAACAAAAATGCTAAGCAAACCTTATCATTACAATACGTATTAAGTCAAATAATAAGCAGTTTTATTTCATGTAACTATAAAAATAATAACACAGGAAAAATACGCGCACAATCGTGGTTCGCTATTGATTCGTCGCCCAAATACTTTCCACATTCGCATTCATAGTTGCCTTCTTCTTTTATTCTTTTCAACGAATTCAGAAATTTCATCCATAGCGTTGTGTTCCATAGTATTATCCAAGATATTAAGTGTGGTGAGGGTCTAAATGAAAAAATGTAAGTAAAGACACGATTTAGATAGAAACACAATGAGAATTACTGTGTTGTGTTGTAGTGCATCATTCAAATGTTGTGCTCCAATATCTCCGATTATATTTTCATAGAGAATTAGTGTTGTAAGTGTCTATATGATAACATGCAGCTAAAAATACAATATAGGTGAAGGTAGAATAACAATTACTGTGTTATGATGCAGCGCATCACTCAAATATTGTGCTCCAATATCTCCAATTTCACCATATCCGAGATTTAGCGTAGTGAGTGTCTACATGAAAAAGTGCAGTTAAAGACATGATACAGCTAATGAGACAGCGAGAATTACTGTGTTGCGTCGTAATGCATTATCCAAATGATGTGCTCCAACATCTCCGATTTTATTTCCATGAAGATCTAATGTGGTGAGTGTCTAGGTAGCAACAAGCAGGTAAAGACATTATAAATAAAGAAAAAATGAGAATTACTGTATTATTTTGTAATGCATTACCCAAATGTTGTACTCCAGCTTCCTTAATTTGATTACGTCCGAGATTTAATGTAGTGAGTGTCTACATGAAAAAAAAACAGTTAAAAGGATAATATAGATGAAGATAGAACGACAATTACTGTGTTGTGTTGTAATACATTACTCAAATTTCGTGCTCCAACATCTCGAATTCCATTATATGCAAGATTCAGTGTAGTGAGTGTCTAAATGAAAAAGTGCAATTAAAGATAAGATATAGATGAAGATAGAATGAGAATTACTGTATTGCTTTGTAATCCATCACTCAAATGCTGTACTCCAATCTCTCGAATTCGATTTCCATGGAGATCTAGCGTAGTGAGTGTCTAGGTGTCAACAAGTAGGTAAATACATGGTATAGATTGAGAATTACTGTGTTATGTCGTAATGCATAGCCCAAATGCTGTAGTCCAATATCTCCTATTTGATTTTCAGAGAGATTTAGTGTAGTGAGTGTCTAAATGAAAAAGTGGAACTCGAAGCACGGTGTAGGTGAAAACAGAAAGATAATTACTGTGTTGTTTTGTAGTGCATCACCCAAGTGTTCTGCTCCAACATCTCCGATTTTATTGTATGCGATATCTAGTGTGGTTAATGTCTAAAGGAGAAAATACAGGTAAAGACACGATATAGGTAAAGTGAGAATAAGAATTACTTTATTGTGTTGTAGTGCAATACCTAAACATTGTGCTCCAATATCTCTAATTTGATTATATGCGAGATTTAGTGTAGTGAGTGTCTAGATGAAAAGATGCCGTTAAAGACAAGATATAGATCAAGATAGAATAAGAATTACTGTGTTGTTTCGTAATGCATTACTCAGATGTTGTACTCCAGCCTCTCCAATTCGATTCTGTTCGAGATTTAGTGAAGTAAGTATCTAGATGAAAAGGTGCAGTTAAAGACACGATATAGATAATGTGAGCATCAGAATTACTGTGTTGCGTCGTAATCCATCACTCAAATATTGTGCTCCAACATCTCCGATTTTATTGTGTGTAATATGTAATGTGGTTAGTGTCTAGATGCAAAGTTGCAGGTAGAGATATAGAATAGATAAAGTGAGAATGAGAATTACTGTGTTGTATTGTAATGCTTTGCTCATGTGTTGTGCTCCAATATTTCCTAGTAGGTTTTCAGAGAGATTCAGTGTGGTGAGTGTCTAGATGAAAAAATAGAATGAAAGACACAGTATAGAAAAGACAGAGTGATAATTACTGTATTGTTTTTTAGTGCATCACCCAAGTATTTTGCTCCAACATCATCAATTTTATTATGTGTGATATGTAGGATGGTGAGTGTCTAAATGAGAAAATACAGGTACAGACACGATACAGATAAAGTACGAATGAGAATTACTTTGTTATATTGTAATGCGTTACCAAAATGTTGTGCTCCAATCTTTCCAATTCGACTATATGTGAGATTTAGTGTAGCGAGCGTCTAGATGAAAAGATAGTATCGCTGAGCACTGTTATTGCAAGTTATGAATGAAATGAAGGTTGCTCTGACTCCGTTCCAGAGTCTCTTATTATCAGTATGAATATATCCAGGATTTTACAGAGTGGGTAGGGTTCAACAATATATTATAAAAATCGAAACCAAAGTACAATTATGGAGGATAACGCTTGTATAAATATTGCGTACTTATCGATTGCTGCAATTCTTGAATATTTGTGAAAGAAAGAGAAATGTCCGATTGATCAATAATGGCTTGTAAATTACTTCCGCGTAAAACAATTGTAAAATGTTGCATGGTGCGTCCAAAGAGCAATCTATTACAATAAATGTGCTAGAGCGTAGTAAAGTTACTGCATAGCTTTTTAGTATTCTGTATGGAAGACGAATACATACTGAAAGATCATATAGGAAATATTCATTACGAACTATCTTTGAGAAAATATGCTTCAGATGAAATGTATTTCGTTGCAATTCTTTTGAGAAAAGATCTCCTTTAGAAGTAGTATTCCTTGAAAAAATGTTTCACCTTGATAGTATAGGTATGAGTGATGTGCTTGGATGAAAATGTAGATCTTGCTATCACTCTATCTTCTCTTCATCCACATCCACCATCACCTATATCCACAGTCGCCGATACTTTCATAGGAGGGATAACTAATGATTTATTCACCTATATTTTCTTGAAGTCATTCTACTTGCATAGAGATTATGAAATGAAAATTTAGTCGACAGTCAATAGGTAAAAATTAGACTGTCATGATCGAAAAAAATTTACCTGATATCGATAATAACTGTCTATGATGCTATTGAAACGTGAGCATATGTTTCTCATGGAGCATAGAATAGTATAGTCCGTTAGATGATCCAAAATTCGGTAGACAAGTTCTACCGGTAACGTAAGAAATGTGACGATACTTTCATTTGCCATTGTAGACTATTGATGAAATGCATACTGTGTCGCTTTATACATTGATTATCTAATATTTTGTTGGTTTTTTCCTTTCATTCAATGAATAGATGCTCCTATTACGTCATATATTTGACATGGTGTTGCAATTACTTATTAGAAGAAAAATAAAAAACGACGACATCACTTTCAAGGACAGAATCGTAATAGGAAGTAATTATAATAACTTTTGGATTGCATACTATTCTTTGCTTGAAAAAAATGGTATGGCTTTATATGCGTATCTTCAACGTGTAAATTATTAATATTAGAATAGAATCAAAAACAGACAATTCAAGTACTAAAATTAGTAGGAGTGAAACTTTTGTTATCATTTAAAAAGCTTGAAGAGTCTTTGAGGATAAGTGTGAATATCTGTTATATTATCTACACTCGTGTTCACACCTACACACATTCTGAATTGCGAAAGTTTATCAAAAACTTCGAAAGATCAAATTATTTTATTTTTCTGATGTTGATTGCAAATAAATATAGTCATTAGGCTAGATTTTTTAAATTTAGATATAAATCTTAGATGGAAAAAAATTAAAATAATTATATGTAATAGTTTCTTTAGAATTTCGTAATAATGTCTCTATGTCATGCAGTCTGTTGTGTATTGTCTGGGTACATCATAGCTGTAAATGAAAAAATGTTAAAATAAAAAATGAAACATTGTTAGTCATCGATTAATGAGTAGAACCAATTCGTATTCTGATGTACTTTCAATGGTAAATATTGATCTTTTATATTAATGTTTTTCGTCGCAATCGATGTGTCATAGTACATGGAGGGGTGACTCAAACTAATTTATTTATGATTCTTACGATTACAATCATAATGGAATACGAACAAAATTATGTTCATGAAATTCGATCATTACGATAGATGTTGTAATACTGTGAAATTGTTTACTATCATCTGAATCATCGTACATACTCACCTGATTCATTCTCTTTTGCTCTCTTACAAACTTACAGGCGCGACTTATTATTCCATTACTTTTTCTTTTTTTTCTTTTTTTTCTCCTTTTTTTCAATGAGTCACATGTAATCTTTCGTCATGTGTTACGTATATAAGGAATGTAAATGATGATAATAACTAGTCGTTTTCATAAAAAACTAAATCATTAAATATCATGCGCGAATGTATTTCAATTCACATCGGTCAAGCCGGTGTACAAATGGGCAATGCTTGTTGGGAATTATTCTGTTTAGAACATGGGATTCAACCTGATGGATTACTACCCTCAAATGTAACTGTGAAGGGTCAAACGGATGACTCATTTAATACATTTTTTTCTGAAACAGGAGCTGGTAAATATGTACCACGAGCAATTATGATGGATTTAGAACCTACTGTAGTTGGTAAATATCTTTTATATGTTTACAAGTTTACATATTGTTTATTTAGATGAAATTCGAGTAGGTACATATCGAAAATTATTTCATCCAGAACAACTAATAACTGGAAAAGAAGATGCAGGTACATATAATCATAATTTTTCTATCGAATTTTAACTTCATTTTTTATTCTTTAATTGACATATCATAGCTAATAATTATGCACGTGGACATTATACAGTCGGTAAAGAAATCATAGATTTAGTTCTCGATCGTATTCGAAGATTAGCTGATCAATGTACAGGTTTACAAGGATTTCTAGTCTTTCATTCATTTGGAGGTAAATATTCGTCTAAGAAAAATGTAAAACTTTAATAAAATTATTCTATAGGAGGTACTGGATCTGGTTTTACATCTCTTCTTATGGAACGTTTAAGTATTGATTATGGTAAAAAATCTAAACTTGAATTTGCTATTTATCCTGCACCACAAATTTCAACAGCTGTTGTTGAACCATATAATTCAATTTTAACAACTCATACAACATTAGAACATTCTGATTGTTCATTTTTAGTTGATAATGAAGCTTTATATGATATATGTCGTCGAAATTTAAATATAGAACGACCAACATATACTAATCTAAATCGTTTATTAGCACAAGTTGTTTCATCTATTACAGCTTCATTAAGATTTGATGGAGCTTTAAATGTTGATTTAAGTGAATTTCAAACTAATCTTGTTCCATATCCAAGAATTCATTTTCCATTAGTAACATATGCACCAATTATTAGTGGTTTGTATTATTAGAAAAAAAAGTTGTATAAATTTTTTTTTGTATTATTTCGATTTTTTAGCGGAAAAAGCATATCATGAAATATTATCAGTATCCGAGCTCACAAATGCAGTATTTGAGCCAGCTAATTCAATGGTTAAATGTGATCCACGACATGGTAACTAAAAAATAAATATAAAAATTCTTCACACTATGTCATTGTTTTTTCACTAGGAAAATATATGGCATGTTGTATGTTATATCGTGGTGATGTTGTTCCGAAAGATGTTAGTGCTTCTATAGCAACGATTAAAACAAAGCGAACAATTCAATTTGTTGATTGGTGTCCAACTGGTTTTAAAGTTGGTATTAATTATCAACCACCAACAGTGGTACCTGGTGGAGATCTTGCAAAAGTTCAACGAGCTTTGTGCATGTTATCAAATACTACTGCCATTGCCGGTAATTTATTTTGTTTGTAAAAATAGATTTAGTATTTATTGATTGAATTTTTGTAGAGGCATGGAGTCGACTTGATCATAAATTTGATTTGATGTATGCAAAACGAGCTTTTGTTCATTGGTATGTTGGTGAAGGAATGGAAGAAGGTGAATTTACTGAAGCACGAGAAGATTTAGCAGCACTCGAAAAAGATTATGAAGAAGTTGGAACTGACACCGTAAATGTAAGGAAAATCTATTTAAAATTTTGTTCGAATTATCTAGTTTATTTATATTTAGGGTGAAGAAGAAGCTGCTGATGAATATTAAATCGTCTTTATTTTGTTTTAAACTTTTTTAAATGTAAATTAATAACGAAGAATATGTATGACATATATCAGAAAAAGATTTAGAATCAATAAATATCTACTGCAACAATGAATACAAGATGTTCTAACTCGAATGTTGTTCTACTGAAAAAAAGATTCATAATAAATAATTCAATAGTTATTTTGAGATATTAACATCGTAGTCCTTTATTATCTATATTTACCTGAAGTACTCAAATTGATAATAGTGCAAATAAAACGCCATAAGTTAACATTTTATCTGTTATACCTAATAAAACCAACATAAAAATATAATTAGAGAATTTTTTCATTACTGAGAACGGAATCATATCTTTAGAATGTATGTCTATATACGAGTAAAACTTCTAATACAGAATATAGAAGAATTAAAAGCTTTATAAATGTTTAAAAATAGCATATAATATTTAAATAGTTTCTTTTTTGTCAATGTCAATATTAACCGATACATTCATTAGTAGTTATAATATAATGGAAAAGATAGACCATTTTATATACAGAATAATATAGATATTATGTCCTAATATTTATAAGTTTTGGAGATAATGGATTTTCTATAAGTATTTAATGCAAAAGATTCATAAAATTAGATTTCTTTCTTTCAATATACAATTTTTAAAATTTATTTATTAATTAAAATCCTTTCGTTTTCATTGTCACAATAATATATGAAAAATTCCTGAAATCCATCACTTATTTTACACAATAACAACAAAGAAAAGCATAATCTGAACGACAATTAAGGAAACAAAAAAAAAAATAATAAGCTAATAAGTAAGAATAATCGTACATAAAATGACTAGATTTGTGCGAATACAACAGATTTTAGTTATACATTTGGCGTAAAAAAACTCGGTCCTCGTTCAAAATTAACTGATGGTAATGTATTCGTTTCATCTTGTTGTTGAATATCAGAATCAGAAAATATTGAACCTTCACTACTTAAATGTTCTTGTTCATTATTTATTTTTTCATGTTGATTTTTATCAGCTGCTGCTGATGTTGAAATACTTTCTGGATTAGTATCATCACTTGAACTTGTCCATGATGTGATCATATTTTCTAATATATATATATAAAGAATAATTTATTTTGTATTTAATATTAAAAGATTAAATACTAACCTTCACCTAATGAATCCATTATTGGTTCAGTACAAGATTGATCTTCCGCTCTAAAACAAAATACATCATTTCATGATCTTTAGATTATTTTCATCAAAAAATAACTTACAACGATACATTATGCGTTGTCATTTGATTATTATCATTCGTCATCTGTGTAGATTCATTTGTTATGGCAATTGAAGTATTGTTATTATTTTGATGATGACATGTAGATGTGTGTAACATTCGATGTATTGATGATGGTGTATGAGGATGAGATTGTGATGTACAATATATACAATGTGAATGGTTATATGGTGTATGTGATTGAGTATGATAATGTAATGTTGAAGATGAATGATGATCAAGCCATGGTGGTTGATATTGTACTAAAGGTGATGATAATGTTCGCTGTTGCTGTTGTTGATCAGATAATAAATGATGTGATGATAATGGTGAATGAATTGCTTCGGACTATTGTAATACAATTATGAAAGATAACTTTCTTCATTTTTCTAAATTAACTTACATAAATCGGTGTTGTTTGTTGATATATACCTGTTGTAGCATATGGATTAAGTTGTTGTTGCTGTTGTCTAGATTCATGTAATAATGCGTTAATCGGATTTTTATGTACATTCATTGAATAATGTTCACTATTACTACTAGCAGATGCTGTTGTTGTTGTACAACATTGAAGATGAATACCATTTGGTATTGAATCAATCCATAAACCTGTTGATGATGATGCTGGTGGTGTATCTTTTATTAAATCATAACGTTTTCCATTACTTAATGTTTTATGAACAGGTAATTCGTCCGATTGATTAAATGATGATGCTGATCTATTAAATTTCATACGATGATGATGTTGTTGTATAATATAATGTAAACATAACCAAATACCATAACAAAATATACATGTAAAAAAAATACTTAATAAAATAATGCCTGGTAAAAACCATGGTTGAGAAATCATTTCATATAAACGATATTTAAATCCATGATGATTCATTTGTAAAAATTTATTATCTAAAAAAAGTTCAAAAATTTGTTTTTTCTTAATAAAATATTTTTATCTTACTCATTGTTACGCAAATTGGTTGTGAATAAGGTCCATAACCGATACGTGTACGTGCAGCTATACTTATACAGTATTCCATATTTTCAATAAGACTTTTAATAAATAAACCTTTGACATCTGAACTTATATTTGCTAAATGTATTGAATTTGTTTCATTGGATGCTAAACAATGTATTTTATATGCAATTATTTCACCATTTGTTTCATTATCTAATGGTGGATTCCAATGAACAGAAAGACTTGTTGTTGATATTAATTGTACAATAACATTTATGGGTGATGATGATGGAGTATTTTCTAATGTTCGAATATTTATTTTATTACTTGGATAATTTAATGTATCATGTAATGGTACTAAATAAATTGTATAATCTGTATTTGATTGAAGATTATTAATTGTATATGATGTTAAAGAATTTGTTATTATTTCAATACGTTCTTTAGATTCTTTTTCATTGATTATGTAAATTGAGAATTGTTTAATTAAGTGATTT